TTCCAGGTCCCCCTCTGTGGTTCTGGCCTAGTCGTGATTTCTCTGAACCCAAGTCAGGATTTGTATAATAATCTGGCTAGCCAGGATGGATCCAAAGAACCTTTCACACTTCAAATATTCTCTTTAAAACACACACAAGGGCTGGGAAGGTGGTTCAGTGGTAGAGTGCTTGCCTTGCATGCATGAGGCTCTGGGTTCGATTCCTCAGCATCACGTAAGCAGAAAAAGCCAGAAGTGGTGCTGAGGCTCAAGTGGTAGAGCGCTAGCCTTGAGCTGAAGAGCTAAGGGACAGTGCCCAGGCCCAGAGTTCAGGCCCCACAAAAGACAAAACACACACACACACACACACACACACACACACACACACGGATGGCCTGGGGGGATATTTGCTACCACATCCCAGATTCAGGATCTGCAACTCAAGAATGTCCTTATTAAGCCAGGCGCCGGTGGCTCACACCTGTAATCCTAGCTACTGAGGAGGCTGCGATCTGAGGCTGCGATCATGGTTCAAAGCCAGCTCAGGCAGGAAAGTCCGTGAAACTCTTATCTCCAATAAACCACCAGAAAACTCGAAATGGTGCTGTGGCTCAAGCGGTACAGTGCTTGCCTTGAGCTGAAGAGCTGAGGGACAGCGCTCAGGCCCAGAGTTCAAGCCCCACAACTGACAAAAAAAAAAAAAAGAATGTCCTTATTAATTTGCTCAAACAGGAGACATTGCCTGGGCACTATTGCCCCCTTGTGGCAGGTTAGGGACTTGGGAGTTTACAGCTTGAGGGTTCCAGCTTTATAAACTAGGATTTATGAAGGGGTTTTGGATAATGTCACCTATACTTATCATGGAAGGCTCACATGTCAGCAATTAGGTCAAATGACTTATCTGTTTACCTCCTTCAACTTTGTAATAAAACCACCTCTAGAGAGGTATCCTTAAAAGAAGACATTTTTAAAAAAAGAAGACAACATGGTCCATGATCTCTTTTATTCCTTAGATATACCCTAAGTTTTGGGGCTTGCTGATTTGCCTTTGCTTTAGGGAGAGGAGTTCCAGTGGGCCCTGTGTAGCTGGGACCAACAGGTCCTTGAGATGTTGCTTTCATGGGTGTCTAGCACCAATGCACCTCATTGGCTAAAGCAGGTCCGATGCCCAAGCCCAGTTTTAAGGAAAGGGATATTAATACCCACAAAGTCATGTGGCAGAGGGTAACAAGAAGTATGGAACTGGGACCACCCATCTTTCCCACCATCCCCACTCAGGCCGATTTGCTGCTACTGTAAATGCTTCATTTACCTTTCCCCGCCCCCCCATCATATTTACATTCAATCAAAGATACAAAGGAGCATGATGTAGAAGTCCTTACACTGTGAAATACTTTTGGTTAGAGAACCCCGTGCTCTGGTGCTGGCAGCCAGGCATGTTGCTGGCAGGAAGTGCCAAGGGGAAGGCCAAGTTCCCACTCAGTGGAAAACTCCAGGCTCCTTTAACCCAAGCCCTTAAGGACAGGGGATCAGTATATGGCGTAAATTATTCATGGCAAGGAATGATCACAGAAATGGTCAGCACTGTGTGGATCCCTTGGTGTGCTGGGACATCTGTTCACTTTCTGGATGGCAGGACTTTCCTAATATTAAAGCATTAAAAATTCAGCTCATCGGGGAGGAAATCTAAGTTGTGCAGAGTCTTGACATGGGTCCATGGTTAATCGAGTGTCCAGCTGCGATTAACTGCTATCCTAGCTTTTTGTAGAGGGTCAGAGGACAGTGCCCCTGTCTGTAGTCTCCCTCAGCAGGCGGCCTCTCTGGTGTGATGCCAGGGCTGTGGTAGGACTCTTCTTCTGGTGGGTCAGGTCTTCCTTACTGACTGACCATGGAGATATCAGAAACCCTCCTTACTCTAAAAACCATCCTGAATGCTTTGCAAGAGGTTTTTCAGAATGCAAACACATCCAGGGAAACTAACATTTATGCAATATGTTTATGCCTGCCCCCTCACCCACCCACTTCATAAACTTGGTGCTCTCCGGTCTGGTCATCCTGCTGCTTTGGTCTCTGCAGACTCTCTGCTCCCTCTCCCAGTTCACCTGGACTTTGTCAGAAGGCAGCGGGGCTAGGCAGCTCCAGGCTCCCTCCAGGATCACTGCCCTTTGCAGTTGGGAGTCCAGTTTCCGAACAACCCTTTCCTCATGTAATGTGTCTTTCCAGGAGGTGTGAGGATGACTGCTCCATTTTGACCTCATCTATTAACTGTCTTCAAGCTCATCAATCTAACTTCTGTTATGTTCGGTCTTCAGTCAGACCCATCCTGTAGCCCGCCCGCCTGCCCCCTTCCTCTTGGCCTCATGACTTGAAAGTAGTGTTAGGCAGTTTCTTCATCTTCCATGTGCTACCTTAAAGTGGCTAAGCCTGAAGGCCACTAATATAAAGTGGCTTATAAGCTGTGCACCAGTGGCTCACGCCTGTAATCCTACTTGGGAGGCTGAGATCTGAGGATCGTGGATCAAAGCCAACCAGAGAAGGAAAGTCTGTGAGACTCTATGTCCAGCAAACTACTCAGATAAAGCCAGAAGTGGCACTGTGGCTCAAGTGGTAGAGTGCTAGGCTTGAGCAAAAACAAGCTCAGGGACAGTGCCTAGGCCTTGAGTTCAAGCCCCAGGACCAGCAAACAAACAAACAAAGTTGGCATAGAATTGATTGTAACATGACTTGAGGAACCAATATCATGTTAAAAATGTAGGTATATATTTGGCTTCTTGTTAGCTGCAAGAGAATGATTTGTGATTGAGCAGGGTAAGGGGCTGTTGGTGAGAGGGGGGATGAATGTGACATGGGTGGATCCCAGGTGACCCACTGGGCTATTCTAGATACTTCTTACCCTACTGTGTCTAGGAATGGACAAGCATGATCAATCGGGGTTACACCTTCATCACGGAGAGACCATTTAACAGGCCCACCCTTTAAGAGCTTTAAGTCCACGTTCAGCCGTTGTATTGCTTTGGGTCTGGGTTGAGGCTGAACATCATGGCAGTGGCAGTGCACGGCTTACATCATGGCAGCTGGAAAGCGGGAGGTAGGGAGAGAGAGCAAGAGGGAGGGAGTAAGAGAGAGAGAAAGGAGATGAAGAAGGATGGGAGGGAGAGGGAGAAGGAGAGAAGAGGGGAAAGAGGGAGAGAGAGGAGGAGAGGAGGAATGAGAAAAGAGGAGGGGGAGAGAAGGAGAGGGAGAGACAGCGGTGAAGGACAAGACCTTTAAAGGCATGACTCCTCTGTGACCTTCCTTCAAGTAGGCTTCACCTCCCCCCGACTCCCATAACGCTACCACGTTCCAAACCTATGGAAGGATTAACCCATGGGTGAAGTTGGAGCTTCCTGATCCAGTCACTGGGTTCAACAGTTGGGGATCCAGCCTTTGGGGAAGATAATATCCAAACCATATTACAACACCAGTCTCAAAAGGACATGGCCGCCGAGGCCCAGATTCCCAGGATTTGTACCATGCCGTCAGGCAAGCCAGACACTAGTCAAGGGCAGACAGAGGCTAGGGGAGGTTGGGATGGACAGAGAAGGAAGGCACTGGCCTCCAGTCCCAGTTGTAGTCTTGAGACCATGGCAGTAATAAGGTTGTGTTCGTTTTGCTGGCCTGGGGTCAACGTGACTTTGGAATGGCCATCCAGCTCAATTATTCGTGAATTCATTATTCCTCTGATGTGTTTCGAATGGCTGAATCATAGTACTAGTCTATGTGCAATGATCATCCCCAGCTCACCACTGGGGACAAGTTGAACAACTCACTGGACAGCCATCTTGCTCCAAAGGTGGTCCATATACCGTCTCCTTCCATTAGGTGTTGAGCAACCCAGCCCCTCAGGCTAATCTCAGTGTTTTCTCAGATGACTCCTGGTGTCCGCCAGGGCAGATTGGGAAGCATGTGGTGAGGGAGACTCAGAAGGGCAAAAGCTGTATCGGGAGTAATGTGTTACTCCAATGAAAGGAAGCAGAAGGCAGATATCTGGGAGAGGGAACTCAACTGCAGAGAGACTTCATGGAATCCTGTAGCCCATCAGGGCTGTAGACAAGACAGCAGCTTGGAGAGTCTTCCTGCAAAGAAATGAACAAACAATGACTGTCCTCTTCAATCACCGACTGAGGAAGGATGGAAAGCTGAACTAATAGAAAGAACAAGCCAGAGCTGTCATATGCTAGGATCTTCAAAGTACCCTCATTCATTCACTCATTCATTCATCTTTTCCTTTTCTTCTGTGGTGCTGGGGATGGGACCCAGGACCTTATAGTCAATACTAAGCAAGTTCTCTTCCATTCCCAGCCACCAGGAATCCTTTCTTGAAGGAGGATCCAAAGGTGGGTGCCACTGGGTCACATTATCCTCATGGCAGAAATGAGGCACCAAGGAGCACATCCAGTCACATGGACACATTTCAAGGCCCTTCATTTGCATTGAGTGTATCAGCATCCAATGGGTTGGAGCAAGTCGGATGACCTGTTCAAAGCAAAGGGCTGCACTGATTATATTGTGTGCCAGGAGACCAGGTATGGTGGAGCAAGGGGTCTAGCTAGACCAAAGTGTGGGGTGGGGGTCACAGAGAATCCTCAAAAGGATGGATAATCACTTGGCTAAAACCCCCAAATCAGACCTGGTACCTGGAAATACAATGCTGTACTTTCACGGATGGGAAATGCCAAACAGTGCACAAAATGATACTTGTGATTCCGTCTTCCCAAGGCCCCTGATGGCCGCTCCAAGGCTGGCCAGTGGAATCAATAGCAATTTGGGGCGCTCGTGGGGGCGCCGTCTGAGCAATTCTGATGAGTTGAACGTGATGGGTTCCGGCTGCTTCCTGGGTCCTGGGGGAAGCTTATCCACCATGCACTTAGTGCTGGAGCCTGGCCATGCCTCGGCCACGCCCACCTTCATCTCCAGGCCTGGTCTGTCTGTTCCAGCTTCCTCCACAGGCTCTTCTGTCCAGCCCTGGACACTCCAAGAGGATGGAGGCTGAGGGACCACCACAGGCCCACAGGTGCTGCCCCGAGGCCCTGGGGAAGCTCTTGCCTGGCTTCTGTTTTCTCTGTTGCCTGGTGACCTACGCCTTGGTGGGTGCTGCCCTCTTCTCTGCCATTGAGGGCCACCCCGTCCCAGGGGAGAAAGAGGACCCCAACTTGAAGGATTATCTGAATGAGTTGTGCCTCCTCCTGCAGTGCAACCAGACAGGTAGGTGCCTTCCCTGAACGCGTGGGCCTCAGCGCCAGGGGTGGAGGCTGGAGGCTGGCTCTCTCAACTACCTGCCAGAACTCTCCCCAGTCTTGGAAGTCACTTAGGCAAGTGACTTCTCCCTGAGCCTCAGTTTTGTCCCCTGAGAAGTGGGGGAGATTAGTGGCTGTTCAGAGGTAGCTCTTAAAGGGCAGTTTCCTTTCCTGAGCCTGGTCAAGGCCCAGCCTTGACCAGCCTGGAAAGCTCTGGGGAGAGTGACTGTTAGAGATTGGAGGGGCTGGGTAAAGATGAGGGGCAGAGCTGCTCTTCAGAACGATGCCAGCCCAACTGAAGATTTGTCTAGCAGGGATTAGGATGGAAGAAATCACACAAACTGGACTTGGCTCCTACCATGAGCTGGCAGCCAGGCCCCTCCTCTCTGCTTCCTTTTCTAAAGGCCTTCCCCGTGAGGGGCTCCCGGGAGGCCTAGGAGGTGAATTGGGAGGCTGGCGCTGGCACCAGTTGCTTGGCCAGCTTGCTGTGTGGTCCAGCGTGGAGGGTTCTCACCAGTCCCCGTTGGGGGATGGTGAGGGAACACACAATCTCCGTCCTCCCAATCACAGGGACTCTGACCAGCAAAAGCAGACAAGGGACTGAGGCTTCTGGATGGGTACTTAACTAGAATCCCAGGTGTTTCTCACTCATCTAGTTGCTTGTTTCTTTGCTGTGTTCCCTGAAGGAAAGTTGCAAAGCTGTATTCGACAGATCAAGAGAAACCAAGAGAGAGGGGAGAAATAAAAGACAAAGGAAAACTAAGGGCGTCCAAAGTACGGGGAAGAAAAGGGCGAGATAAAGCATAGCCAGGCCTCAGCCCTCTGCTTGCTGTCTCCACCCCAAGCTGGGCCTTGTTGTGGGAATAAGTTCATTTGGCTAGGGGCTGACCAGAGGCTGGTCCTAGTAGAGACCCCTCTGTCTTGGGACTGGTCCCCTGTCATCTGACACACATAGGTCTCCTCTGTGGGAGATGTCATGGCTGCTGCTCTAACCTAGAAATGTCAAGGCTTTCCAAACCAGGTCAGACTGGCTAGATGTGCATGGACAGGCCCTTCCCCAGACCACTCACGCACGATCTCCAAGTTGGGCTAGAGAGTTGGTTTCTTGGATGTAGAGCAGAGCAGGAGAAGCTAGAGATGATCCAACTCCTTTTATACTGGTTTTCATGGGGTTGAAGGGCTCCAAAGTGCTAGTTTAATGTAGGCCCTGAGCCAAACCCTTACCACACAGCATCCGGCTTCAGCCTCCCCAGGGCTCCTCACCGTGGCTAGGAATCACCCCCACTTTACAGATTAAGAAACTGAGGCAAGCTGGGTGCCGGTGGCTCATGACTATAATCCTAGCTATTCACCAGGAGGCTGAGATCTGAGGATTGCAGTTTGAAGCCAGTTTGAGCAGAAAAGTTCCCACGAGATGGTTATCTCCAATAAACTATTCAAAAAAGCCAGAAGTAGCACTGTGACTCAGATGGTAGAGCGTTAGCCTTGAACACAAAGAGGCTCAGGGACAGTGCCCAGGCCCTGAGTTCAAGCCCCAAATCCAGCAAGAAAGAATGAAAGAGAGAGAGAGAGAAAGACAAAGAAAGAAAATGAGGCATGAGGAGGTTAAGCATTGTGCCCAGGCTCACAAACTAGGAAAATGGAATCAGGGATACTGATCCAGGCATCTGACTCCAAAACCTCTTACATCATGTGGCCTTGCAGAGGGGGAAACTGAGACACAGAAAGCAGCCTCTTGTCCATAGCTCCAGGAAGTAGGCAGAGTCTGAGCTGAGTCTAGATGCCAGGGTCTGGACTCCCAGGCTGGTGCTTAGAGGTGGCAACTTCCCTGTGTGCCAGGTCTGGCTCCATCCCCTCAACATACCCTTGTCTGGCAGGCAGTGACCCAAAGCCCATGGGCTGCCCAGGCCAACAGAACCATCTGAAGCCATCTCTAGAAGCCTCTTGGCTCTGGAGTCCATATACAGTTTGAATTTCCTAAACGCATGCTTGCTTTTAGTTATTCAAATTCTAGGAGACAGAACTTAACTCCTCTTTGAAATGGGAGGTTTGGAAAGTTCCAGCAATTCCAGGTCTGAGCGCAAGTGACCTGTCAAGTGCAGGATTTGAGTCACAGAAGCATCTGGGCCAAGCTATGGTGTTGATGGGGACCTCAGGCCTGTCATGGCTGCTCCTTGGAGGTGACCCGCCCCTTCCCGTGGGTGGGACCCCCCCCACGCTGCTTCACTCTGGCCTCTCTCTCTCTCCCTCTTTTTTCTTCTCTCTCTCTCTCTCCTTCTTGAGTCGTGGAAGGCAGAACAAAGGAGCTGCAGGAGCATCTTCGGAAAGCAAAGCCAGAGTGGTTGAAGGCCCCCGGCGACTGGTCCTTCCTGAGCGCGCTGTTTTTCTGCTGCACGGTGGTCAGCACTGTGGGTGAGTGGGAAGGCCGGGGCGGGCCTGCCCTGCGCCACCACAGCAGCCTTCCTGGGAGACCCACGAGGGACACTTTGGATCACTTGGTGGGGGGTGCTGGGTGCCAATGCTAGGCCTCCGGGATGCAGGCAGGCTGGGTTCCAGCTTGGGATCTGGTACTGAGTAGGGCTATTCAGTAGCCAGCATCCTTCCGGAAGATGGTGAAGCCCTGAAATCAGGCAGAAGCCCCAAGGTGTAAGGCATGGACCACATCTCAGCCTTTCTTGTCTCTCCCCTGCCCCCCAGACTGAACACTTGGGTGCAAAGCGCATGTCTGACCTGGCTGGGAACCCAGCAGACTGAACGCAGGGTCCCTAACACAGGCTTCGGGGGCCAGGCAGAAGTGCTCAGGCCTGATCACAGGTGTGACTGTGATGTGCCCAGGGGCTTCCGAGAGCAGAGATGGGGACAGCGGCACCTGCCCCGCCAAGGGGCAGCTGAGCACTGAGAACATTTAGGGTTTTCTTTTTGGAGCGCGCACGTGTCCTCTGTGATGGACCATGAGCTCTTGTGGCCCGGGTGGGCCCAGGGCTGAGACAGGGGATAGGAAATGGCCACGAGTCCTATGAACAAAAGCTTCATCACTGTGCCAACGCGCTTCCCATCCCTTCTCCCATCTCATCCTCACAAGAGCCTCCGAAGAGGCTGTGACTCCCCCCTTCCGCAGGTGAGGGCTGCAGGCTTTGCTGTAACGTAGTCCTGACAGACAGCAGCTGTGAGACAGACGCAGAGACATGCAGAGGATGGCGTTAGTTCACCATCCGCCCCCCTCCCCTTCAGGAACGTAGGCAGAGCCAATGAAAGCATTCTTCCCTCCGCCCTGTGGCCCCTTGGGTGGGATGCTCCACTAGATCAGAGCACGGCGGCCACTGCTGCTGTAGCCACCGAACAGCTGTGCAGGCAACAGCACCACACACCTATTGCAATCCTTGTCACACAGTGGCTATGGATCAGTAGCCTCCAAAGCACTGGGTAGCTCATTAGGAATGCAAATTAATTCCCAGGTCCCATCAGCCCTGGGGCGTAGCCTTCCGATCTGTAGAATTAGAATGCCTGCTGATGTGTTCTGTGCACAGGGGCTCAGCCTTGGCCACAAATCAGAATCACCACAGCCCGCCCTCCCTCCCCCACTAATCACATGGAAATCTCTAGGGGCCAGACCCAGGCGTCAGTATTTTTTTTTTTTCAGGGCCCTCCAGGTGGTTCTAATGGGAGCACAGGCTTCAAATCGCCGATCTAATGGAAATGCATTAGCTCCGTTTAAGTCTTAAGCAAGCAAAGCCACTACCCATTGCACAAGTCAATTAGGACAGTGTGCGCCCCAGTAATTACCACCCTGGAATCAATATGGTGTTTGAAGGTCCCTCTGGAACCACTATTGTTTCCTGTCCTGCTTCTCTGGGCCACCTGACATATACCTGGCCTTGATGCTGGAGAAGGGACACCTGGCAGGTGTGAGGCTGCCGCCTGCAGCCATTCCCATCTGGCCAGGCCGGCGTTCTGGTGGGGAGCAGAAAAGCAAGTATTTGGGCTCTGACACATTCTGGGGCTGAGGACATGAACTGATGGTATCAGAATGCAGCAGTGCATTAGAGGAAACCATATACGTCTCCATTCTGCATTTCAGCATTCGGTAATTGGGGTAAAGATCTTCCCTGTGCAAAGCTCTGTCTTCCCTGAGACTCACTTCCTGGGCATGTTTTCTGGGAAGGTAGCATCTCTACTGGGTTGTAAACAGGGCTCACTCACAAAAGCTATAAAGGGGCTTTGTCTAGGATGTTCCATTCTCATGTTTGCCAAGGAGAAGCTTAGATCAGACATGCACACGGGCAAAGTTTGCATAGGAAGGGTACAGATCCTTGTTAGCTGTGGGTTGAGTGACCCCACACAGGTCACTAAACTCTGTTCTTGTCCATTAGATGCAGGTAATAAGGTCAGCATTCAAGAGTTTTGGCTCTCAAAGGTATTTTATGAATCTTACATATTCTCTCCCTTCCCCATCTTCTCTTTCTCTGAATCAAAATAAATCTAACCAGACCAGGTGTTGGTGACTTATGCCTATAATCCTAGTTACTCAGGAGGCTGAGATTTGAGGAGCTGGGTTCAAAGCCAAGTTGGGCAGCAAAGTCTGTAAGACTCTTATATCCACTTAACCACCAAAAAGACAGAAGTGGAGCTGTGGCTCAACTGGTACAGTGCTAGCCTTGAGCAAAAAGAGCTGAGGGACAGTGCCCTGAGTTCAAGACCCAGGACTGGCAAACAAAACAAACCAAAACCCAGCAAATTAAATCTACCTAGTAGACACAATCCTGGAGACGAGAGTCACTAGTTACTCCTGGGGAGCCCTCTCGATCTTCCTAGGAGTGCATGAGACCGGCGGGGGGGGGGGGGGGGGGGAGGGGGAGGAATCACTATCTGAAGGTGAAGTAGCTCCCTATTTATGTGTCATCTTGGCTGCTGACATCCAGAAGGATGCTGGCCCTGGGTCTGGGATCCTCTCAGATCCCAAGCATGTTTGAAGAGCACCTGTAACCCAGGATCAGCTTATCTCAAAGTCCCTCACAGCACCCACAAAGGCCCCTTTCCAAACCAGGTGGGAGCTGTAGATTCTGAGAATTAACAGTTGGGTGCATCCCACTATACTGATCAAGACACCACCCCCTCCTCAGGGTCCCCAGACCCTGCCCACCTCCCCAGATGCACCCTGCCCTCTCTCCCTGCCCCTGCAGTCCACCCACCACACTGCCCATCTCTTAGTTCCTTCCACAGGAAAGCAGCATCAAGATCATAGCTCACGAAGGGCATGGCAGGATGGATTTCCGCTCTTTTTACTCCCTTGACATATGCCCAGCACGCTAACTACCCACCACACGGACAGTCTTTCTAAAGGCTTCTCTGGAGCCTTTGGCATGTGGGGCTATGGCTGGCTAATTCTTGGTTCCTCTCTCCATCTGTGTGAGCCACCTCATCAGGAAAACTTCTCTGAGTTTACAATCCAGGATGGTCTCTTCTTTGTTCTAATGACACAGAGAACAGTCTGTCCTTACTTTGTTGCGAGGGATCTCCATTTGGGATGACAAACCCACACAGGTAGTTCTTCCCCTAATGTCTGCCCCTCACGGCACAAAGGAAGCTCAGGGAGGTTGGATCTTGGATCTACCTTGTCTCTCATGCATGCAGTAAGCACTCAATACATGCTCACTAGCTAACCCTGTCTCCAAGGGGTTGCCCCATGGGACCAGTCAAAGCAGTGTGGGGGACTTTGACACAGAGGTGAGGGGTCTGGTGAGAGCCTCTGAGGGTCCGCCCCCCACCGGGGCCAGGAGACAAGGGCGTCCCGCAACCCTCACCCTCCCCTGCCAGGCGGAGCCTGAAGCGGAGCCTCCAAGAGCACTGGCACTCAGCCTGCTTAGGAGTTGCCTTCAAATTAATATACATAATTGGGCTGATTCTTTTGTATTAATCATCCTTTATGACATCACAAATTAAACACAGGCATTAAACACGGACTCTTTCCCCCTGTTGGTTGAAGTTCTGGGTACCCATGCTGGGTTACCCTCTTTCTGTATCTACCCTCTGCACCTGGGGCATGGGGAGGGGAGAGGAGGAAGGAGCAGTCCTCCCCCATGAGTGCCGAGACCCTGGCCCACCCCTCCCTTTGCTGGAAAGGCCCCATCCCAGTGATGGGATTTCATTACAGTGGGGAACACTGACTGGAGCCTGGAGAGCTTGTGTATGCCCTGGACCAAGGCATTTTATTATCCTGTGCCTCGGTTTTCCCATCTGTACTCAACCAAAGCCAATGCTCAGAGACAAGGACAGTGCATTAATCACTTCCTCCCTCCCTCTAGTAGGTGAAAACCTGAGGGTGGAGGAGCAGACTACTAAGTGGCAGCACTGGGACTTGAACCAAGGCCATCAGCTTGCAGACACTGGGTGATGATGGCTTTGTGGTCATTTATGACCTATCTGTCTCACCTGCCACAGTGGCTCTGAAGGCAATTGTACGCACACTGCTGCAATGGTATGTGCACTGCTGTGCACGCCATGGGCGTATAATAAGTACCTATTGTTACCACCAATCAGCTGAGGGGCCAGGCATTTCAGAGGAGATAAGCTCCTTGGAAGTGGAGCTGTGGTTCAAGGGGTAGAGAGCAAGCTTTCAGTGAATAAGGGACAGCTCCCAGGCCCTGAGTTCAAGCCCCATACTGACACATATGTGCATGTGTGTACACACACATGCACACACTCATGCACACATGTACTAGCACTTTTGAGAGGAAAAGGATGGTGGTGGGTTCTTGCAGGTGAGTGGCACCCACACACACTGAGCAGGGTAGAAGACAGTGACCTCACCCCCAGCAGGTGTCTGTCCCTGCTAAGGACATTTCAAGTCAAACATCTGGATAGGAATTGCTTCTGATCCTCCTTGGCCCTCCATAAAGCCAGCCAAGTGGCAGATGCTTGAAACGAATATTTTTATTTATTCATTTACTTTTTGGCTGCAGGTTGAGCCTGAGACCTTGCAAATGCTATGCATTTTTTTTGGCTGGTCCTGGAGCTTGAACTCGGGGTCTGGGTGCTATCTTTGAGCTTCTTCTACTCAAGGCAAGTGTTATACCTCTTGAGCCACAGCACCACTTCTGGCTTTTTTGAGTAGTTTACTGGAAATAAGAGTCTCATGGAATTTCCTGCCTAGGTTGGCTTTGAACTATGATCCTCAGATCTCAGCCTCCTTAGTTGCTAGGATTGCAGGCGTGAGCCACCAGTGCCCAGCTTTAAACATATATTTTACCATTGAGTTATGCTCCCAGATTGAAATTACTTTTTTTTTTGGTGCCCAGTACTGGGGTTTGAACTTAGGCCCCAGACACTGTCCCTTAGCATTTTTTGCTCAAGGATGGCACTGTGCCACTTGAGCCACAGCTCTACTTCTGGCCTCTTGCTGGTTAATTGGAGATAAGCATCTCATTGGACTTTGCTGCCCCAGTGGCTTTGAACTGTGATCCTCTTCAGATCTCAACCTCCTGAGTAGCTAGAACTACAGGCATGGGCCACTAGCACCCGGTGAGATGTCTCTTTTTAAGCTTGACGTGTGAAATGTCCCATCAGGGACAAGTGGCAGGTTTGGGGGAGAGGGGAGGGGAATGGGCAGACCACAAGCCTGGGCTCTGTTCTCTTTCAGGTTACGGCCACATGTACCCCGTCACCAGGCTTGGCAGGCTCTTGTGCATGCTCTACGCGCTCTTTGGCATCCCTTTGATGTTCCTGGTCCTCACAGACATAGGTGACATCCTGGCAACGATCTTATCCAGGTCTTATAATCGATTCCGAGCACTCCCCTTCCTGCCTGGCTCGTCATCCTCTTCCTCCTCTGGGTGCTGCTCCCGGCTTCTCTGCAGGAAGAGGCAGGAGGTGAGGCCCGAGGATGCGGCCACGCCTCCCATCCTGGTGGTCCCTGACATCGTGATAGAGGCTGAGGAGCTCCAGGGCCCCAAGCCTGGCCGGTGTCCTTTAGCCCCAAGCTACAACATGGAGCTGTTTGAGAGATTTGTTGCAGGAGAGAAACTGGACAGGTTGCAACCACCCCTGCGGGCCGTGGAAAGAAGCAGCTCCTGCCCCGAGCTGATGCTGGGACGGCTGTCCTGCTCCATCATCAGTAACCTGGACGAGGTGGGCCGGCAGGTGGAGAGGCTGGACATCCCCCTCCCTGTCATCGCGCTGGTGGTCTTCGCCTACATTTCCTGTGCGGCCCTCATCCTGCCCATCTGGGAGACAGAGCTGGGCTTCGAGGATGCCTTCTACTTCTGCTTCGTCACCCTGACCACCATCGGCTTTGGCGACATTGTGTTAGTGCACCCTCATTTCTTCCTCTTCCTGTCCATTTATATCATCATCGGGATGGAGATTCTGTTCATTGCTTTCAAGCTGATGCAGAACAGGCTCATTCACATCTACAAGAGCCTGATGCTGTTCTTTGCACGAGGAAAGTTTTACCAGCTTGTGAGAAAGTAAGGCTCCCTCGTCTCTCATGACAGACCTACGGTGAGCCTTGGGCGGTGTGGCTAGAGCCTATGGCATCAGAGCTGGTTGTCTGAGACCTTGGCTTGGAGACCAATCCTGCATGAAGGCCAAGTTCAATCTGCCTCAGGGCAGAAGGAAAACCCATCACCCTTACTCTGAGCCCTCTTTACTCCCCTGCCTGCAGTTTGGGTTATTTTCTTGTGTTCCTGGGGCATTGAACTCAGGACCTTGTGTATGCTAGGCAGACACTCTACCACTGAGCTACAGACCTCTGACTGCTTTTTTAAAGCACCACTTTAAACAGATGAAAGCAACAATCTTTTGATGTTGTTGGTTTGCTTGTCACAAAAATTATCTTTGTTTTGGGAATATGTTCTTTCAGCTATGTAAAAAAAAAAAAAACCCAAAACCCAAAATTCCTTTCTGAACTGCTCCCTGCTATTTGATGAGAGAGTTAGCCTGAGCAACCTCTTTTTGAATGACTGCATGAATGCATGCAAGGCTAGCTCTGGCCCAGCTACTAAGGTGACTCAATGAATTGTCTCTCATGTTCCCAAGGGCTTGGGAGGCTGTGCTTCTAACTGACACTCGGATGGCACCTCTTGAGTGAGCTGGCTTGTAAGAAGGCTGCCGGCTGAATGGACGGGTCGGTCCATGGAAGGGGTGGCGCTGGGTGATACTCTGTTGAACTGCTCCTTGGGTTGCCATGTGCAGAGGAAATTGGTCATCCACCCATATGTCCTGGCATCCTAGCTGAGGACTGCCTTTGGCCACTGAAAGTATGAACCTGCGCCAGGCCGGGTAGAAGGAGGAGCCTTCAATCAATGATGAATGGGGCTAATGGGAGCCATCATTCAATGACTAATGGAGTGGATTGACACTGCTTTCTCCCTTGCCCATCTTCTAGGACAGCTCTGGGGCATGCTCTGTTCTCTCCGTGTGTGTCTCTGTAGTTTGGAACCTCTGTAGCAGCCTCCTCCATCTCCACCCCCCATTCCTGTTCCCCACTCCTTTATGAGAGCCTCCCACCGAACCTATTCCCCTTCAATTGCCTCAGGGCCTCTCCTGGCCAGGGGTGAGCAAGCTGGCACACTCCTGGAAAGGCATGCCTCTTTTGCTACTTATTAGAAGTTGTCATTGTTCTTGGTTTTTAGAAATGTTGTATGACTACATACTGCTTTTTTGACAGTTTTGTAAAGATCAACTAGGTCCTGTGGTCAGCACACATTTGTCTCTGGATAAATGGTGGACAATGCCATGGGGGGAAGCAAGGTAGATCGGCAGGAGGTTCAAGCTTGAAAGGAAAGTGCCTGTCTCTCAAGGCTTCACTGTTTTGTCTTAGGTTTTGGTCACTGCCAGGGGCTTAGGCCTCCTCCTCTTCCCCACCATGATGGATTCTTCATCCCTTCATCCCTTGAAGACCTACCTCAGAGAATGGAGCTAACACAGTATGAGCAACAACCAATGAATGGCATGACAGTAGCGATGGGATTTCAGACAGCAGTCCCAGGGCGGAGGGGTTGTGTGGCGTCCCATTCCTCAAACCACAAAATCCCGAAGCAAAGTCCTTCCAACCCACACACGGAAAGGGATGACTTTGATCAAGATGCATTTGTGCTCATAAACGGACATGTTGAATTAAAATCCCTTTTACAACGATCTAGTAATAATAAATGACAGCCACCACAAATCCAAACGCATTTAGGATGTCCATGCAAGTAGGAGCACAAGGTCTAGCCTCAGACCCACAGACACTCACTGGTGCTGCTTCCCAGCCTCAGGCCATCCAAAGAGGAGTCAAGTGTATCCTCAGAGACCTACAAGTGAATTGTCTCAAGTGACCTCATCACAGCAAGCATTGAGCCCTCCGCCACTCCCCACTTGATAGGAACAACTAAAGGTCCTTCTCTTTGCTCATCTCATTTGTGGCTCAGAATTCTTCCATGGGTCTACAGAGCTTTCCCAAGATGACTTTCTGCTCCTCATTTCTCACCCTTATTTCAGGTGTCCTATATTGCCGTCATCTTGGGCTGGTTACTCCTGCGTCCCTGTGTAGGCATGTGAATTTGTGGCGCTCGGCTTTAAGGGCACACTGCCACCTGGGAGCTTCCACACAAATCCCACCATCCTTCCTCTTCATCACTGAGCTGTGGTCATCCGTTTTTCATCTCTGTGATACAAGGCCTAGGAAAAGCGACTTCAAGGAGGAGTGATTTGTTTTGGCTCATGGTTTCCGTCCGTGGTCATTTGGCTTTGTGTGTCTGGGTCTGTGAGGTGGTTGAACATCATGGTGGTGATGGTGTGGTAGAGCAGAGCTGCTCACTACATTGTTGGCCAGGAAGGAGAGGGGGTGAGGGTCAGGGACAAGATATATACTTCAAAGACATACCCACCCAGTGGGTCACCAATCAGGCTCTACCTCCTAATAGGCCCATTCAGTACAAACTCATCAGCAAATTAACTCACTGATGAAGTTAATGCCCTCATGAGCCACTGCTTCTGAAGAGTGTCTCCAGCTAGAGCCCAAGCCCCCAACACTAGAGTGTTGTGAGAGGACATTTCCTATCCAAACCATTATAACACTTTACCATAGACAAGGGGGCTAAATCATCACCCATTGATTTCTCATGGTTGAAAAGGCAGGAAGAAGAAGAACAGAGAGACAGAAAGGTGAGGATCTGGCTAAGGCCTTCTTTCTGGTTGAGCACAGAGATCCCATGTCCCATTTCTCTTTCCATAGGGCACTAAAACCATCCTCAGTGTCCCACCCCTCTGACCTCATCTAAAATGAATCAATCCCTAGAAGGCCCACCTCCCTTGGGAGGTAGAATTTCAATAAATGTCTTGGGTGGGGATGAACACAAATGGGCATTCTATAGATTTCCCCCCCCTAAATTCAGACATCACTGGTCCAGGGTTGCTATCTGGGCACTGGGGCATCTCAAAGGTTCCAGGGCATCTCCGATGTGGCACCAGAGTTGAGAGCACAAACTGGTGGCACAAACTGCTCTTCCAGCCTGAAGTGCCCTTCTCCCTTCTGGAATGGATGAAGACTTGCCTTCCAGATGCCATCTACCTTTAACCTCCTCTCACCAGGGTCGCCAGACTCCTGGACCTGGTCACTCTTGTCTCCTCCACACTTCTGCCCTCTCCTCTAAGACTGTCATGACGTCCCATCCCTTGTCATGATCCAACTCTGAGGTGTCCAAATAAGCCAATCGGGTCTTTTTCATCATCTTGCGCTCTCCCCTTTTAATCCTCCCACCCCCACGTTGCAGGGTTCTGTCATAAATAGAGCATTGAGGGCAGAGCTTTTGGACAGGGGAAGGGGGCTGGAGGGGCCTGCATCGGGAATTCCAGCAAATTTCGAGTTGGAGTCTTTCCTGACCTTCTCCAAATACAGATCCTCCTAGTGATGGGAGGATGCTTCCTGTCCAGCCTGGGATCTTTTCTCTGTTTTGGGTGTGTGGGAGGGGGGAATTCCCACCAGATTGACCAGCAGCTAGCAGCACTATGGGTGTGGCTAAAGGGTCTGAGCTTAACCAAAGTGCACGTCTCAAATTTGGGAGCCTGTTTTCCTAGAAGTTCCTGGATCTGGAGGGGAGGGGTAATTTTGGTGGTCACCTACTGTCTCTCCAACCCATAAGTGCAGAAAAATGTCCTGTCCCACCAAACTGTTTATCTGTGACCTTCCTGTACCTGGATTAGAATCTTGGTGTCCTGTAGGGTTCCCAGTGGGGCAAGGCAATAGGCATGCACTTCCCTGAGTGACCAACAGATGGCGCATCCAGACCACATGGACGCTGTGCTCAGGGACCAGCAGGTGGCATCAGCTTCTTATAGGACCAGCAGGTGACAGCTCAGCCTCTGTCCTGTGCTGCTCCCAAACCTATGAGGTTTGGGAGGGTTGAGGGGGACAGAGGGACACAAACGGGCATTCCATAGCACTTTCCGCTAAATTCAGACATCAGTGGTCCCCCAAGGAGGGCAGTCACCTCAGATTCTTGTCCTTACTTCTGTCCCTGCCTGGGAAGGAGCACTTTCCATCACTACCCTCTGCCCCTCAACTCACAGGTCCTATCAGCCCACCTCAGTGTGTGAAACGTTACCCCTCCAGTCATCACGGCTCATCAGAGTGTCCTGTAACTCCCTCCACTATTGGCTCCTTTCCCTCTGGCATTTTTTTGGGGGTGGGGCAGCTTATAGGGGACACTCTGGAGCTCCAAGCATATCCAGATCCTGGCCAGCGGGAAACCCACTGTGTTGCAGCCTTTGGGAGTGAGGTCCACCAACTCGGAGCTGTGGTTTTGCTTTTTGCTTCTCACATAGCTGAGTGGTTCTAGCCAGTGGCTTTGAGTATTACTGTGTTAGGGTAGACCCAGGACAGACAGGGCAGGGCAGGCTAGGCCTCCTGGGAGCACCGCTGGGGATGGGCAGGCTGGGATCCAGGAGACCTGGCTGCACCGGTACACAGGAAGGGTACACAGGAAGTCCTCAGTGAACACCTGTGGCTGGCACAAATCCCAGTCACCAGTCTACCCAGATGGTCGAGGCTGGCTGGTGTTTGGGTCAAAGACTTTGCCCCTGACAGCTTGTGCCAGACCACTGGGATGGGCTTATCATTAGTTCTGGAAGCTTCCCTGCCTTCTCCAATTTTGAGAAGCCTGGCCAAGCTCTGGCAGGCAGAACTTGGGAGGAAGGATTATATTTCTCCTGGCTGCCATTAATAAACCGTCAAGGGCAAGGTGACCACACTTTGGCTGAGGATCTCTCTCTTATTTGCGGATTCTGGGAGTTCTGAGAGCCCTATGGATGTGTTGGCAGGCTGGTGTGGTTTTGAACTTGTCAATGTTGTGAAGTTTGTTATTTGGTTTTAAAAATTCATTCTAAATAAATATTCATGCTCATAAATAATTTCAAGTGGGTTATTTTGTCTTTTTTTTTTTTAGGAGATGGTCTTAAAGGCATAGGTGTGGAAATGTTCTTTTCTC